TCAACAACAGCTGAAAGAGGCAAGCGGTTAGTATTCCTTCAAAATAATGACTAGTGCATTGTGGTTTCTGGACCATCTATGGGGAGCCTACAGGTGCGATACTCTGACCTGCACTTGTAACTATATAATATTTTTCCCTTTATTCATTCATGGGATGAGGGCATTGCTGACCAGGCAGCATTTATTGCTCATTCCTAATTGCCCAGAAGGTAGTTGAGAGTCAACCGCATTGCTGTGAATCTAGAGTCACATGTAGGCCAGACCAGGTAAGGATGGCAGTTTCCTTCCCTAAAGGACATTAGCGAACCAGATGGGTTTTTCCAACAATGGGTTCATGGTCATCATTAGATTCTTAATTCCAGATATTTTTATTGAATTCAAATTCTACCATCTGTCATGGCAGGATTTGAACCTGAGTCCCCAGAACGTTATCTGGGTCCATGGATTAACAATCCAGTGATAATACAACTAGGCCAATGCCTCCCCTTTGTCAAATCTGTTATCAATCTGTCTCTGTACTGCAGGATGCTGATGGTGCTATCATGCAGAATTGTGATTAGTGAAGGATTGAGCCAATAGCTAATCTTGAATGGATTTTGCATTAATTCACAGAACTAGATGTTAGCAACATACTTCTCCATCCCCAACAACCATAGTCTCACCCTGTGTCTTGTTTTAGGGATTCAACCAATTCTTGCCAGTAGCTGCAAACATTGAACATAATTCATATACATTCAATAGATGATGGGAAATTCAATGATTGTATTGACGAGTAAGCTTTGCATGGTCAGGAAGGAGAGATCACATCTGGAGTGAGAGAGCCCAAGTGAGTATATAGTTTGGGGATTTTGGAGGAAGCATGAGAATTTGGTATTAAGGGGAAGAGGTGTTTTTTGTTTGCTTTTTTGGTTTATAATTTTAAGATTTTATTAAAGAGGAAAAATTGGAGCCCAGGTTTGGATGCCAAGCACAAAGCAAAGTGACATCACTAAGATACATCAGGGAGGGGGAGAGTTACCTGGACACTGTGTTTTAGGAGGCTGTCACACCCCTTCGACTAACTATCTTGAATTTGTTTAGTGGTTTAGGACAGGGGATGTACTATGAGCAAGGCAGGTTAAGGGATCCAGGAGGTAGTGCTGCCTGAGCCTCAGCCCTTGACTTCATTAACAGGTTTGAGATTCTTGCTTCTGTGTGGACGAGAACAGGAGCTATAGGGAAGATGAGCAAACTGACGAGAGCCATTAAAAAGGGGAGAGAAAAGAGAAATGGGGTTGTAATCAGGGATAGCATAGTTGGGGGACAGATACTGTTCTCTGTGGCTCGGATCAAGAGTCCCAAAGGCTTTACTGCCAGTCTGTTCAGGTTCAAAATATGTCATCTAGGCTGCAGAGGAACATGGAGTAGGGGGAAAGATCCAGTTGTCTTGTGGGATGCAGGTTTCGGTTCAGTTGCATGGCAAATGATAAAATTAAAGGTAAAGGAGAGGTAGGATTGCAGGTCAGTAATGAGGTTGATTGTTACCAGAAAATAAAGTCAAGTGACAGAATGTGTGAATGTCATATTGTACCAAGGAACCATAAAAGTGTAAAAGGTGATGTATGGACAACACAAATTGAGGTAAATTAATATGATCTCATAGTTGTTATGGATACATGGTTACAAGGAGATCAAAACTGGAAACTTAACATTTAGGGATATTTGACCTGTCAGAGAGGAAGATGAAAGGAAAAGTTGGTAGAGTAGCACTGCTAATAAGAAACTGAATGAGAATAATTGTGGGAGATGATCTAGGCTTGGGGATGGCATAGAGGTAAAAAACAAGGGAAAAAAGACATTGGTAGGAGTAGCGCACAGACCCCAAAAAGTTGCCCCTCTGTTGGAAAGGCTTTAAATCAGCAATTAATTGGAGCATGTAAAAAGAGTAGAGCAATAGTTATGGGTTGCTTTAATCTTCATGTTAATTGGGTTAATTGAATTGGAAAAGGTAGCTATGGCAACAAATTGATAGACTGCATGAGGTATAGTTTGCTGGAGCAGGCTGTCTTGGATCATGTAATGGGTAGTGAGGGAGGTTTAATAAATGATATCTGAGTAAAAGGTCACCTAGGAAGTAGTGATCGTAACATGATAGAATTTAATACTCAGTTTTAGAGTGAGAAACCTGGGTAAGAAAAAAACTGTGTTTAACTTAAATAGGGAGCATTATAATGAAACAAAGAGAGAGTTAGCTAAAGTGAACTGGGCAGATAGATTACCAGGAATGACAGTAAGCAAGCAGTGGCAGACATTTAAGGAGGTAATTCATGACTCTCAGCATAGATGCATCCTAATAGAGATGAAAGATTCTAATAGAGGGATAAACCAACCATGGCTAACCAAGTAAGTTAAGGAGAGCAGTAAGTTGAAAGAAAAAACATACATGGAGGCCAAATTCAGTGATAGCCTTAAAGACTGGAATAAATTCAGAATCCATGAGAGGAGGACTAAGAAAATAATGAAGTCAGAGATAACAAACTATGAGGGCAAACTAGTGAGAATATGAAAACTAACAATGAGGGATTCTTTAAATATATAACAATGAAGAGACACTTCAATGTGGACATAGTATCAGATACAGTAATGAGGCTAAAAACAGATAAATACCCTGGCCCTGATGGTTTGCATCCTGGGATCCTAAAAGAAGTCGGTACAGAGATAGTAGATGCATTAGTTGTAATTTTCAAAAACTCCTTGGATTCTGGAGAAGTACCAGAGATAGAAAACTGCCAATGTGACATCCCTCTTCAAAAAAGGAGGGAGACAAAAAGCAGGTAACTCTCGGCTGATTAGCATAACATCTGTTGTTGGAAAAGAATTGGAATCAATTATTAAGGAAGTAACAGCAGAACAATTGGAAATCATAATCTAATCAAACAAAGTCAACATGGCTTCATGAAAGGGAAATAATGTCTGACTAATTTATGAGAGTTTTTTGAGGAAGTCTCGACCAGAGTGGATAGAGGGGAACCAGTAAATGTGTTGATTTGCAATTCTAGAAAGCATTCATCAAGATACCTCACAAAAGATTAGGGCAAAAAATAAGAAACAATGGTATTGGAGATAGTATACTGATATGGATAGAGAATTGACTAATGGGCAGGAAACAACAAGTGGGGATATGGGATTCTTTTTCAGGTTGGCCACCTGTGACCAGTGGGGTTCCACATGAATTAGTGCTGGGACAGCAACTGTTTACAATATAAATCAACGACTTGAAGGAAGGAAGGAAGCAAATGTACTGTAGCCAAATTTGCAGACATCACAAAAATGGGTGAAAAGGCAGTTTGTGAGAGGGATATAAATGATTTACGGAGTGATATTGATATGTTAAGTAAGTTGGCAAAAAGTTGGCAAATGAAGTATAATGTGGGCAAATGTGAAGTTATTCATTTTGGAAGGGAGTACAAAAAACAGAAAATCACTTTAATGGAGAGAAACTGCAGAAATCTGCAACACACGTGCAACAGGGAATCAGAAAGTACAATAGATTGTTGGCCTTATTTCAAGGGGGTTAGGGCATTTGATCTCCCAAAATGCATCACTTTGCACTTGTCTGGATTAAACACCATCTGCCATTTCTCCACCTAACTTTCCATTTGATCGATGTCCTGCTGCGTCCTTTGATATTTTTCCTCTTTGTCCACGACTTTATTAAATTTTATGTCATCTATAAACTTACTGATCAAACCACTGACATTTTCATCTAAATCACTTATATATGTTATAAATAACTGAGGTTCTGCTCTCAATCCTTATGGAACACCACTAGTCACAGGCCTCTAGTCAGAAGAATAGCCCTCTACAAATACTCCCTGCCTTTTATGGCCAAGCCAATTTTGTATCCAACTGCCAATTCACCATGGATTCCATGCGATTTGATCTTCTGAACCGGCATACCATGAGAGACTTTGTAAAATGCTTTTGTAAAGTCCACGTAGCTAACAGCTGCTGTCTTATCCTCGTCAATAATTTTTGTCACTTCCTCAAAAAACTCAATCAAGTTTGTGAGATGTGCATAAAGCCATACTGGCTATGCCTAATAAGTCCATTCTCTTCCAAATGCAAGTAAATCCTGTCCCTAAGCATCTTCTCCAATAATTTCCCTACCACTAATGTAAAGATCACCAGATTATAATTTACTGAATTATCCCTGTTGTCCTTCTTAAACAAAGGAGCAGCATTGGCTATTCTCTGGTTTTCTGAGACCTTGCCTGTGGCTAAAGATGACACAAAGATCTTTCTCAAGACCCCAGCAATGTCCTCCCTTGCCTCCTTCTGTATCCTGGCATAGATACCATCAGGCCCTGGGGACTTACCTACTTTAATGTTTTTCAAGACACCCAGCACCTCTCCTTTTTAATATTGACATGCCTTATAGTATCAACAAAGACGGATCTACCCTTTCCCTAGTCACCCTTTTGCTCCTAATATGCGTATAAAATGCCTTGGGGTTCTCCTTAATCCTACTTGCCAAGCACGTTTCATGGCCCTTTCTAGCCCTCCAAATTTCGATTTAAAATTATTTTCTGCTCCTTTATACTGCTCAAGGGCATTCTTTGATTTATGTTTCCCAACCTTACATATTCTTCCTTTATATCTAAACTTACAACATCTCTAATCATCCAAGGTTACTAAATCTTGCCATCCTTATCTTTCACCCTCACAGGAATATGCTGGTCCCTGAACCTTGGTCAACTGGCTTTTACAAGATTCCTACATGACTTCCTACAGTAAACCCACTTTACCTGCCTCGCCCTCAATTAATAACTGCTCATTAACTCAGCTGTGATAAGGTGAAACTGCATTTGTGTGTTAATCTGTCTTACTCCACTCTGAAACATCGTTCACTATTAAACCAGTATCAATCTACTGTAAATCAGACAGATTCCACTTATCATCATCAATGCTGTCCCATGCCGCTTTATTTCTTTAATGCCAGATCTAGAGGTTTTACTTACTGTATACTGTGACAAACATTTTCTTCTCCTTCAGCTGAAGATTCTCTGATTTACATATCACAGAACATGCTAGCGTAAAATCCCAATTCTGGACGCTTTGGAAATAATCATTGTACCAAGTACTGCTATCTGTTCTGGTTGCATTTACCCCTGGTTTATATTCCACATTCATTGATGGTTTTTGACATGTTGTGCTGCAGTTCATCTCGATGGAGTCACCAAATTCCACTGCTGGGGAATTTACATCAATTGAAACTTCAAATCCAGTTACTGCCAAGAAAATAAAGTACGGTAAATACAGAGACATACGGTCCATTCAAGGCAGTGTATTGCATGTAACTCCCTAACATAACAGTACATTTGTAGACTCAGAATTCTTTGACTGCACGCTTTAGGTAGAAGCAGACGATCACTTGCTGAAGAGAGGAAGAAGTTAGATAAACATGAGAAGAACCACAAAAGAATCAGAGACAGAAATATGGAAGAGAGACTGGAGAGGAAAGAAACAGAAAAGGACATTTTCTACTGTGACGTTTCACTCTGTAAAAAGAACAAACTTCGGAGCTGTCTCAATAAGAATGGTTGTCAGAACCATCAGAATGAATGGTTACCTTTTACCCAGTACTAACTCAATAGATACATGAGCTGACACAGAAACATGCCCATGTCCAGTGCAAGAAATGTCCTTAAACTTTTTCAACCCTGGAAATTAACTTTTTAATCTTTTAACTTTTTAACAATTTATTGTTAAGGAGATCCTTTAACATATGTACTTACTTTGGATCCAGAAGGCCAACACTGCAGGGATTATGTTGCTGTACATGCTGCTGAGAAATGTGGATTACTCAATTTGTCTCCAAGCCCAGATAGTTTCAGATACTAGTGTAACAACAAGACTGTAATGATGGTTTCAACATGCCCAAACAAGTTTGTTTGGCAGTTGATTGATAGTGTGCTGCGTTTTAATCAGCAACGGTTTTATGTTATCTGCAAGTGGCACCCTTTGGTCTCTCAATATGTGCTATACTGCACCACCCAAAAACAGTAAGGAAAACTGAATATGTAAACAAAAAAATTATGTTAAAATGGATAGTCTCCTGACATATCTTTCCACATTAAAAATGTCAACTTCCAAGGTTTGAAAGGTTTCAAGTATATTTCAGCATTTTAGAAGGCTCTTCAAATCTTCACATGGTTAGAATTTAAAAACCAAAAAGGAGTAATTGCATTGCTGGGAGCGTCGTATAGGCCCCCAACAGTCAGACAGAAATAGAAGAGCAGCTATGTAAGCATATTTCAAAGAAGTGTAGAAGTATTATGGTAGTGATGGGGTATTTTGACTTCCTTACACAAACTTGGGTAGACATAGTGTGAAAGATCCAGAGGGAGCAGAATTCCTAAAATGCATTAGGAAAGTTTTTTAAGCCAGTACATAGAAGGTGCTACAAGAGAGAGGGCGGTCCTGGGACATAATTTTAAGAAATGAAGCTGGTCAAGTGGCTGAAGTGTCAGTGGAGGAGCATTTTGTAGATCATAACTCCCTTAGATTCAAGATTGTTATCAAAAGGGACAAGGATGGCCCTGAAATAAAATTCTTGACTGGGGGAAGGCTGATTTTAATAAGATCAGACATGACTTAGCTACGGTGGACTGGAAGCATATAGTTTTGGTAAGTTTGTCTCAGAGCAGTGGGATGCATTCAAGAAGAAAATAGGGAGAGTACATGGCCAGTATGTTCCAATAAAGATAAAGTGTAGGACCAACAAATCTAGTGAACCCTGGATATCAAGGGATATGCAGGATTGGATTAAGGGGAAAAGGGAGGCTTTTGGTCAATACTGAGGGATCAAAACAGCGGGAGTCCTAGAGGAGTACAGAATGTGCAAGGAGAAATTTTAAAGGAAATTAGCAGAACAAAAAGAGTGCGTGGCAGGTAAAATAAAGGAAAATCATAAGTTAAAAAAAACCCTGAAAGAACTGCGGATGCTGCAAATCAGGAACAAAAACAAAATTGCTGGAAAAGCTCAGCAGGTCCAGCAGCATCTGTGAAGGAAAAAACAGAGTTAACATTTCAGGTCCGGTGACCCTTCCTCAGAACTGATAAAAGTCATAAGTTATTTTACAAGTACATTAAGGGTAAAAGAATAGCAAGGGAAAGAGCAGGGCCCATTGAGGACCACAGAGATAAATTGTACGTGGAGTTGGACGATATAGGTAGAATTCTGAGTGAATAGTTTGTGTCAGTGTTCATTAGTGAAAGGGACAATATAATCACCGAGAATGATTGTGAAATAATTAAAGAAATCAGCCTGTCCAGTGGGTTCTGCAGGGATCAGCATTGAAGCTTTGCTGTTTATGGTAAATATAAATGATTTAGACTTAAATGTTGGAGGGTTGATCAGTAATTTCACAGATGATTTGAAAATTAGTTGGTTGTAAATAGAGAGGAGAATAGTGTTAGATTGCAGGAAAAAATAAACAAGCTGGACAGATGGACTGACCAGTGGCAAATTGTGCCATGATTATAATGAGGTCAGCCAGGTGGACATTATAGAATATGAATTCCGTGATTGGGGCTGTTCACCTGGTCCAATCAGGCAGCCTTGGCTGACAGATATACACAGGAGTGTCAGAGGTTGTGTTCTCTCTGTGAGCTGACTCTGAGGAAGCTGGATCAGTGTCAAAGGCTCTCCAAATGTAAATAAAGGGTGATGTGATGACGGAATACTAGCCTCTGTGGAGTTATTTGAGTGGTGATGAGAGTGGGATTGATGATGTAACCATACAAAAGTGTCCACTAGCTGAAGTCCAACTGGACTTCAAACAGGCACTACAACAGGCTTTTTCATTGGAAAATGTGGCAAGTGGAGCATATGAGTTGCAGAGTATTCTGAAGGAAGTGGACACCCTGACCAGTTGGACTGAGCTTGGGGAACACCGCTTGAGTGAAGGCAATTGCATACCCTCACTCAGGACATATCCTGAACAAAAGGACTCTAGGTCAGGTTGCAGAAAAACCCCAAAAAATGTCAAACCTCAGACAAACGGTTTAAATTTTCTTCAGCATTCAGGCCAGCAAGCCATTGTAGTTGCTGCCGGTATGCAGACTCGAGACTGCAAAAGAATCCCACGAGGCTGGATGTGAGTAAGAGAACTCGTGGCCATATCCAAGAGAGTGCACACTCTGGGAAGGTCACATACAGCTGGTTTGGAACACTTAAGTTGCTTAGCAACATCTAAATCGGAACCAATCAAAATAAATGTCTGGTTAAATGGTCACCCGGTTCCAATGAACATCAATACTGGTGTGGCCGTTTCAGTGATCGTGGAACCAATCTTTAACAAAATTCAGCCTGGACTGTAACCCTTAGATTTGCACAAGACCTTGGCTAGACTGAGAGCCTATACCAGATAATCTTTACAGATTAAGGATACAATTTTGGTTCTGGCCTCTTATGAGAAGCAGCTGGTTCAGTTACTACTGATTAAAGTAAATGGTTCAGGCCCAAGCCTGATGGGGTGAAATTGGCTGAGAAAGATTTATTTTGACTGGTTCAACATTTTTTGATAAGAAAATGGCTGCCTGAAGTCCTAATTAAATAGCTGGAAGTTTCTCAGGAAGGTCTAGGGACTAACAAAGGAGCCAAGGCCACCTTGCATGTTAACTAAGAAGCAATTCCACACCCAGTACCATTTACCTTATATGCAAAAGTAGAGGCAGAAATCAGGAGGCTGGAAGCTAAAGAATCATCAAACCAGTACAGTTTGCGGAATGGACAGCACCAGTATCAATTGTGAAGCCCAATGGTTCGGTTTGCCTTTGTTGGGATTTTAAACAAACGGTAAACCGCTTCTCGTAGCTGGATAAATACCCAAGCCCTCACATAGAGGATTTATATGCAAAGCTGGCGGGGATGGGGCGTCTGTCCTTCACAAAGCTGGATATAAGCCATGCGTACCTGCAATTGTGATTAAATGAGGATTCCCAGAAGTATGCTACAATTAATATCCATAAGGCTTTGTTCCAATAAACAAGGCAGCCATTTGGGGTATCTTTAGCCTGTGCAATTCTTCAGTGGACAATGGAAAACATGATGACATGCTAATAACAAGGCAGACCAATAAGGAGCACTTAGAGAACTTGGACATGTTCTTCGACATTTTTCCATGGTGGGTGTATACCTCAGAAGTGAAGAATGTATGTTCCAGGCACCCCAAATGACCTACTTGTACTACAGAGTCAACAAGGAGGATAAAGTGAAGGCGATTGAAGGTGCCCAATTCCTATGTCTCTACTGGAGCTTAGGCCCTTCCTCGAGCTGATGAATTATGTTTAAGAATCATCCATAACCTGGCTTCCATCCTTTGCACCAACTCACAAAAAAAGGCCAGCCTTGGAAATGGCCACAAAGCCAAGCCATAACTTACAGAGAAGTGAAGAAACAGCTATCATCCTCTTAGGTGTTGGCACACAATGATCCCAGGGGAGATCTGGTATTGACATGCGATGCCTCCCCATACGGCATCTGGATAATATTAGCTCATAGGTGGCCCAATGGAGAGTAACACCCAATAGCATAGGCATCTAGGACTTTGTCTAGTGCAGAGCGTAAAGATGCCCAGGTAGAGAAGCAGGTCATATTTGGTGGTCATATTTGGAGTCAGGAAGTCCCACCAATACATTTGTGGATGTAAATTTGTAATAACAGACTACAAACGCCTGCTAGGTATACTTAAGGAGGAGAAAGCAGTGCTGCACATAGCTTCAGGCCAAATTCAGCAGTGGGTTCTGATACTAAGTGCGCAAATTACAAGTTGGAGCACTGTTCGAGAGGCTAAGTAGCAAATGGGGATGTATAGAGCCACCTCCCGCTGGCAGATACACCACCGGTGGTACCACCACTGGAAAAGTCCATAATGGTATTACATTTTCTGGACATACTTCCAATCGCAGCTGACATTATCAGACTTTAGATGCAGAAGGATCCAGTCCTGGCAAAGCTGAAACAGCTGGTGGTGATGGGGGGAAGCCATCACAACCAGAATTGAAACCTGTTTTGGACCTGGACAGACCAGATCACGGTACAGGATGGCATATTATTATGGGGAGTAAGAGTGATTGTCCTGAGCAACAGTCAGCACCGGGTACCGGCTGAACTCCACCAGGGTCATCCAAGGGTTTCCAAAATGAAGATGTTGATGAGACGTTATGTCTGGTGGCGAGGATTGGATGCAGACATAGCTGCTTTGGTAGGCCAGTGCCTGCAGTGCCAACAAGGACAAAAATTACCACCAGATGCTCCCCCATATTTGTGGGAATGGCTGGGTAAACCCTGAAATTAGTTACATCTTGACTATGCAGGTCCTTTCATTGGCTCAATGCTCTTAATCATTGTGGATGCCCACTCAAAGTGGTTGATGTGCATAGAGTTCATTTGTCAAACACTGGGATGACAATTAAAAAAAACGCATGCATCTTTTACAAAACATGGATTACTGGAAGTGATGGTCACAGATAACGTGCAATCATTTACCATCAGGGATTTTGGGTATTTACTAAAGTTGAATGGTATTCATCATATAAGGACAGCTCCAAACTATGCATTGTCCAATGATCCGCAGAAAGAGCAGTCCAAACATTGAAGGTAGACTTAAAGAAACAGCCTACAGCTTCACGAGATATCAAACTGTCCCGGTTCCAAGTTGATTATAGGACCACCCCTCATGCAACTACAAGGATAGCTCCAGCAGAGTTGCTAATGGGGAGAAGACTCCACACCAAGTTAAATCTGATCTTCCCAGTGTGGTGATACTGCGGCTTTAAAAGGTGTATTTTGTCCTGTTTTCTTTTAAGAGAAATTTTAAGGCAGACGTAGTAAGCAGTCTACCAGAGCCACTCAAGTAAACAGCCTGTGAGGCCTTGAATTTTTAAAAAAAGTTGTAACAATAGAAG